TCTTCTTCTTCTCCTCCTCCTCCTCCTCCTCCTCCTTTTCCTCCTCCTCCTTCTCCTTCTCCTCCTCCTCCTCCTCCTCCTCCTCCTCCTCGTCCTGCTTCTCCTCCTCCTCCTCCTCCTTCTCCTTCTCCTTCTCCTCCTCTGTTACATACTGCATTCCACACGGACCCTTTTAGGCCCGATGACTAGGCTGAGGGGTTCCGAGGGCCTGGACGCGATAGTCCAGGCCAGGTCGGCCCAAAGGCCGAAGCTTTGTAGGCCACCCTTTTGGCCTTGCGCAACCGGTTCCAGACCAGGCCCTGCAGCCGCAGGCCCTGGGCGGGAAATGGCCAAACGTTTTTCGTTTGGATCAGGCCGCCGTTTAGTCAGCTTGTTTTCCCAAAAACCAGTCCGACCTGAACCACGGATCCGCCGATAGATCCGGCGGTTCGGATCGTAGGCCACCTTCGGAGGCAGAGGCCGAACTGGCCGCCGACCGGTATTTAGGCCCAGCCAGCAGCCATTTCGAGGAGGAGAGTGCGGCAGCACTGAGGAGCGAAACGCTGCGCTATTTCTGTTCCAGCGCAGCGCTAGGTGTAGCGCTGGCTGTGGAGAGAGAGAGAGCGAGGAGGGAGACTTACCTAAAAGCCACCGCGAGCGCCATAGCTCCCATCGGCACAGCCATCTCCAACAGCAGCAAAGACGCCACCTTTCATCATCAGGTAGGGCCTAGGGCTCCTCGCCATCTCCACCGATGCTCTGCCCCTCTCAGGTCGTCTTCTTCTTCTTCTTCTTCCTCTTCTTCTCCTTCTTCTTCTTCTTCCTCTTCTTCAGATGAGAGACTTTGGGTACAAGATGGACAGAGATCAGCGATTGGACTTCGGTGGTAGGAAAATGTGATACTGACCGGATTCAAGACATTGGAGATATTTGGGATTGATACCTGGCGGCATCACACATCGGACATCGGTTACATTACGAGTCTGTACCTCCAACATTGGCGACTAATGTCTATGACATTCTGATTTGTTTGGTGACATTTTGGGCTACTATATCGGTGACATTCGGGATTCTATTTCGGTGACATCTGGCGCTGTCCCTATCTCCCACCTCCGCCGTCTCTCCTCCCACCATTTATCTGTGTATGGGTGTACGGGGCTGTAGCATCGTCTATGTATGGCTTCAGACCCACCATCTCACGATTGTTTGTGTGTTGATGTCTAGGTGGGTTCAGTCTATGTGAGTCGGTCCATATCTCACACTTCCACTGCATATATGCTCATCCTTTATTGGTTGATCTTTGGTTCTGAAACGGTTTTCACCTCTTAGCAGTAGCAGACACAGATCCCAAGGTTTACCTGTGTACAGTACCGGTGTAGACCCCGAGAGTTGAACCTGCGACCTGTGTATTTGTAACAGTTAGTAGTCTGTCGTAGGGTCCTAAAGGAAGCAGGGGTTCGAACTGTAGATCTATAGAGTAGGAGTCTTAGCGAGTTCCAGAAGCCTAGCTGTAGTCCTTCTAGAAGGTCAGCAAGTGGGCAAGTGGGCAAGTGGTGAGTCAAGTGGTGGACTAAACTGCAGTGCAATTAAAGTACGATCTCCGTAGGTTAGTAGTGAGTCCCCACTCAGTCAGCGGTAAGGTCCAGTCAGTCCCAGTCTGGTCTAGCAAGTACCACAGGGGACTGTGAGCACCATGGGCCGATGGAAGAGGGCAGACCAACGAGTTTCAGAAGTATAAATCAAGAGGCAGCGCCCAACTTTTCATCCATTCCTGCGTGAGCCATGCGGAAGCGCTGCCACAACGACTTGTGCAAGGAGGCTTGCAGAGAGCCCGGAGCTGAAGTGGGCAAGAGAGAAGGAGCGTAGCATAGCGATAGGGTAGAGGCAGCCATAGCTGTCATAGCTGTAGTTAGTGTGAAGTGTGTGTGTGTATGTGTGAGTGATCAGAGTGACGCATGTGGGATATCCAGGGTGATTCAGTGTATGTGAACAGTGAGTGGTTTGGGCGTTGAGTCGCCATAGCCAGTTGAAAGTGAACTCGTATCTGGATGCTATATCTCTGAGTTTTGAGTGGGCGCATGTCGCCAGTTTGCTGCGCTACTGTTTACATGCATGAAAAGTGTGAATGAGAACGAGTCTGATTGCAGTTCTGCCCATACTTGGTGAATGTATTCACTAGTATGCAACATCCTCCTCCTCCTCCTCCTCCTCCTCTTCCTTCTCCTCCTCCTCCTCCTCCTCCTCCTCCTTCTCCTTCTTCTTCTTCTTCTTCTTCTTCTTCTTCTTCTTCTTCTTCTTCTTCTTCTTCTTCTCCTCCTCCTCCTTCTCCTTCTCCTCCTCCTCCTTCTCCTTCTCCTCCTCCTTCTTCTTCTCCTCCTCCTCCTCCTCCTCCTCTTACTTTTTGTTCTTCTTCCATCTTCGTCCTTTTCTTCTTCTTTCTTGATCTCCCTTCTTCTTCTCCTCATCGTTCTCACCCTCCTTATTCCTGCTTCTTCATCTTCCTCCTCCTCCTCCTCCTTCTTCTCCTCCTGTCATCGTCGTCATTGTTTCTCTTCGTCCTCCTCCCATCCTGTCCTTCTCCTCATCTGTCTCTGCCACATCCTGATGCTTGCTTTCTTTCTTACTGGACCAGGTATGGTTTACTTCCCAACAATTGTGTACCTGTTGAGGAGAGGTTGTGGCTGTTGGAGTATGACCGCGTCTTATCATGAGAGCTAACATTCCTGCCTTAGCTTTCACTCAATGAGTATGCCATAACTTATACTCGTGCTTTCTACAGATTTCTTACCATACTGCACTGGAGACTGAGCGGAAGAAAGGGTTTGCTTCCCTGAAAATCGTCCTGAGATCATCTGTCATGCGACTTTCGAAGGTTTGGATTTACATACTTCAAAAATTTAAGCAGACTGATATTTAACGTCTCAAAATCATCTGTGCAAGGAATATGAGCGAGAGCGATAGATAGAAAACCAAGTTGCAAAATCACACAGATGTCCAGATAGTCATGTACCAAGAAGAGAACTCAAATGCATCAAGATTCCATCCAAATAAGAGCAAAGCAGTGGACTCGTGTGCCAATGTTGTCGCCCTCAAGGCCCACCAGCACAGTATCCAATGTCGCTCATCTCTGTCTGGCCCCCAGTGCCCAGCCTACTCTACTGAGCCTATCTAGTCTATCTAGCCCATCTACATTCTTGCAACAGGATCACTCCGATGTTGAAGACCAATGTACATGACGTCAACACCAATGCCGACCTCCCACATACACCAGGTATGTTCTCTCTCCTCTCCTCATCAGACCTTGACCACCGACTCATGCGCCTCCTACCCGAAGACCACCTTCGCCCATCACCAGCATGCGCCCCTGCAGCCCGGCTATGGCTGCTGTGCGCCCGCTGCCCTGCAGCGCCACTCTCACCTCATAGCGCCCGCGTGCGCCCCAGCCAGCAGCGCAGCCGCGTATCCACATTGCCTGCCTAGGCCAGGATGCCAGCCTCTGGCCAGCGAAGTCGCGGCCTCTGTTTGGCTGCGAGGGCCTGGCTGAGGAAGCTCTCAGTAGCTTCCAGTGGGGCCCCATTGTCTGCATCCAGGCCCTGTCCGACAGTTGGGGGGCTGGGCCCTTTCTGGTCAGGGACGTCCAGGGAGCCTCCAGGCTCCAAGTGTTTGTCGTCTTCTCATTGGCTCGCTGGGCCAATGCAACAACAATGCTGCTTTCTGATTCGTCCGCGGTCACTTCGTGATGTGTCGGCCTCACACTGCGTGTGCCCAGGGCACAACCACGCGGGCCTGGGCTCAACTGCGTGACGCAGCTGCTGTTTCTGGGAGGAGCCCAAGGAGAGGCTCACGTTGTTCTTCAACCGACTGGCGTGCTGCAACTGTCTGATACCCATATTGGAAAATGTTGAGATTAGGGCCTCTTACCGGTATTCAGGCCCGCCTTCACTTAGGGCGGGCATGAGGCTTGCTGGGGGCCACAGCCCAGATCATGTGCATGTTGGCTAGGGCCTCGTGAGGGCACATTCCTCAGATTCCATCCCCCTTAGCTCGGAAGTCCGCTGAGATGCTTCTTATGCAGGAGCCTTCCCCTTTAACATTCTTTCATAATCTGCCACAATTTGCGGTGCTGCTTGAACCAGTTCGTCTCTTGTGAGCCATCGATCTTCTTTTGGATCCGTGTGATGCCTGAATCTGACACGAAACTACTCCTTCGGTTTCGACGGTTTTCCTCTACCCACAGGCTTGGAAACAGGCATATCTCTGTGCTCCAAGATGTCGTCGACGTCCACGTGGCCATCCATGGTTGGGGCCAGCATTGATCTCTTTGATGTGAACTGTTGTGTCTCAGTGAAAGGTGCAAGCTTTGAGGCGTGAAACACAGGGTAAGTACGCAAGTGACCAGGGATTCGAATAACGTCCGAGGGACCATCCAACTCACTACCCACGATATCCCAGACTTCCTGAGGACCAAAGTATTGAGGCATTAGTTTCCTAGAGATGTTGAACTCTTGTCCTAGCTCACTAGCCTTGACCCAGACACGTTCCCCTGCCTGAAATGTGGACTGTCATCGATGTTTGTTCTCTGAAGCAATCATTGCTTCTTGAGATTTCTCAATGTGCTCGACAGCCTGCTGCAACGACAGCATGCTGGACACCAAATTCTATGGTTCAGGAGTTGCAATGGATTGATTTTCAGGCGGGAGGAAGACTAGAGCAGATCTAGGCTTCCACCCCAAATGCAGCTGATTCGGACTGACACCGGTGGTGTTGTGTACAGCGTTGTTGTACAGACTGGCGACGAGAGGCAACTTCTCATCCCAGTCATCCTGGTTGGGCTTAATGTAATGCCTCAGCAGATGTTGCACCACACAGTTCATCTGTTCAACTTGACCGTTGGCTTAAGGATGATGCCCCAAAGTCATTTGATGTTGGTTGCCCATCTGTTCAACAGCCTTCTTCCACAATTTGCTGGTGAAACGGACATCTCTATCATTAACGATGGACTTGGGCAGTCCAAAATCACGCACCCAGTTATCCATAAATAACTTGATGACATTATCTGTCCTCGCTATTTTCGACATGGCAATTAGTCTAGCTTACTTAGTAAACTTGTCAACTATGACGAAGATGTGCCTCTTGCCACTCTTGCTGTTCACGAGTGTGTCCATGAAGTCCATGGATACACTTTGTTCGGGACCGGGAGGGATGGGCAAGGGCTTGAGTTTGTGGCGTGTCCCGCTGACAGACTTGACATGTCTGTGTGTACTTCTTTGCTTCATCGAGCATGCCAGGCCACCAAAAACATTGTACTAAATTGACACTCATCTTTTTATAGCCGAAGTGTCCGATTGCATCGTGGTACTTGCCTAAAAATAAACTATGCAAAATTTCACTAGATGAAACAAATAATCTCTTAAATCCTGCCTTTTCAAAAAAGAGTAACCCATCCACCATGACAAAGTCATCTGATGTGGCCTTATCTCTAGCCTCAAGTTTGCGCATGATGTCCATCGTGGCGGGGTCTTCCTTGTAGGCTTCCACCAAGGATCAAGTTACATCATCAGATAGGCCAAACTCAGTAATCAGCGCACCCAGGTAGTTTGCCCTACGTGACAGCGCATCAACAACCTTGTTGTACTCTCCCTTCACGTAATCTAGCTTGAAGTCATATTGCTCTATGACTTCAATCCAGCATTTGAGTGCGTCAGAGAGGACAGGTTGGGTCTTGATCCACTCGAGTGTTCGATGGTTGGTTCTTAGGTAGAAAAACCTTTGCAAGAGATGGTGTCTCCAGTGGACAAGTGCTTTGTAGAGGGCGTAGAGTTCCCTTTCGTGGGTGGAGTTCGCCAACTTCTTTGATGGCATCTTCTTGCTCATGTACTCGATCAACCTTAACTTCTTCCCTTCCTATTGGGCCAGCATTGCGCCAATGCCAAATTGGCTTGCGCCAGTGGTCACAACGAATGACCTCTAAGGATCGAGGACAATGAGAACCTCATGATGCATGAGGGCATGCTTCAGTCTTTTGAAAGCAGCCTCATATTCGTCTCTCCATTCCCATGGCGTGCCAAGGCGTGAAAGATCAGTCAGAGAGGCGGTCGCCGTATTATAATTTTTCACAAAATTGCGATAGTAGTCGGTCATCCCCAAGAAAGATTTGTCCTCCGTCACAGACTGAGGTCATGGCCAGTCACAAATGCTAGCCACCTTGGCATCCTCGGGCCTAATCCCTTCCGCGGATACCTCATCACCCAAGTACATGATTTTAGTGCAACCGAACTCGCATTTCTCTAAATTTATCTTATACTTGTGTTGTCGTAGGAGTGAAAGTACTTTTCCTACATGTTGAGCATGTTCCTCAACATGTTTACTGAAGATAAGAATGTCGTCAAGGTACACAACGATAAAATTGTCCAAGTAGTCTTGGAATATCATGTTCATTAAGTATTCATTGTGTGGTCGTGGAATTTATTACTGTTAATTAAGTATTCATTGTGCGGCAGACGTACTTTACAATGTCTTTCCTCTGGAATTCTCTGAAATTGTCTGTGCTCACACGTTTCATCCCACTTCTTTTCTACCCAGTCTCACTTATGTTTGTTGTGGATGAGGAGACTTCTGACCCCCGAACAAAGCAGCAAGTAAAAGAGCGGAATTTTTTTTTGATTGCCCGGTTGGACAAATTGATAACTGAACTTCAAGATGTTGGTGAAGATGTTGAGGCTCACGTCCGGAGCCTGTACGATTTAAGAGCATTGCATGATGCTATTGACTCGTCTGTCACAGACACCGACGTCATTCAAGTTCAGGAGATGCTAATCAAGTGCCGACAGACACTTGATAAGTATATCACGGATCAACTCACTCAACTTGCTGAACAGAAAAAAGAAGAAGAAAGGGTTGTGTCTGAAGAGGCCGTGGATGAGAATATCAGACAACTTGAAGAAGCGTTAGAAAAAGAAAAGAAGAGGAAAAAAGAATTGAGAAAGAGAAAGATTGAACAACAAAAACAGAAAGTTCAAGAGGTTAGACAAACTGTTGTTAAGACTGAAGGGTAAAAACAGGAAATTTCCTTGGCTCAGCTTGTGAATTACCCTGCACACTTGGAACTGAAAATTGATCAGTTTGGCAAACGAATGCAGGCACAAATTGATGATGTGGCCTCACGGCTTCGATTAGTCACGAACTTGGTCAAGGGAAAGGAAAAAGCCAAGGAAGAAAAGATGGAAAAGCCAGAGAAACTCATGGGAGACGCCATGGAGTCTCTTAAGGTAGAAACAAGGAAGACGGAAGAAAAACCAGAAACAAAGAACGGGGAGCCTCCGAGTCCGCCGTCTTCTCCTCCCAGCTCCCCTCCTTCCTCTCCACCTTCAAAGACTCCTCCGAAGCCACAAGACAAAGTTACAACGACTCCGGAGAAACCAAAGAGAAAAGAAAAAGTGAAAATGAAATTGCCTTTCACATTTTGTAATAAGAAAGATGAAAATCTGCTTTTGTGGATTGCAGAGATTCAGACGTATTGTAGCACGACCCTTGTCGAACCTGAATCCCAGGTCGCATTCTCTACCTCTTCTCTTGGCGGGGAAGCTAAGGAGTGGGTTTTGGCTGAAGCTAATGTCGCAGGGTTCGATGACATCGGGGAGTGGGCTGGGCTTTTGAACCTCAAACAGTTCCTTGGGAAGATCAAGGAACGGTTTTTGGACAAAACGACGGTCGATAAGGCCTTTGACCAGCTCACCACGATTGGTCAAAGACATTGGACCTCTGTGGAGTCGTTGTCACGGGAAGTTGATCGGTTGCTGCAGGTTCCAGGATTGAACCTGCAAGACAACCAGGTTTTGTACATCTATTCCCGTGCTCTCCCCGAGCCCATTCGTGGACAACTCGTGGCAGAGTCTAAGTCTGGTAAGTAAAACTATAGGCAATTTCGGGATTTAGCTCTCCAATGAGAGCAAATGACTTCGCAAGTGAAGAACCCTTATGCGTCTGTTGTGAAGTATGGTGGTGGTGCAGGAACAGGTAAGCGAGTACTTTGGCGCCAAAAGCGCCAAGACCACACCCTTGTCGTCTTCGATGACGAAACTGTGGAAAGGTGGCCGTTGGAGGCCGAGGGTGTGGCGAACAACAGTGATTCCGGGAAGGGGGAAGTCACTGCTGCCGTGGTCAACAAGGGAGGACCACGACCGCTGATTAAGAAGAAGAAGCCACACTCGTTCCCAGAGCACCCCGGAAGTGCGGTCGGGAAGCCTTGGGAGAAGATGGACCTGTCACAAGAAACGTGGCAGGAACGAATGGACAACGCGCAGTGCGTGAAGTGTGGCATTGCAGGGCATGTAATTGCATGGTGCCCATTGATTCGGAACCCAAAAGCGAGCCGCCAGTAGGAGTAGCATCTGCTCCTACTGAGTCTAAGGGTTTGGACCAGAATGAAGGTAAGGCGCCTACTAACCCTTCCAACCCTTTGACTCGCATGGCAGAGGATGGTTCTTCTTCGGTCCGTCGTCCAGAACACCCTGAACCTGTCTTATGTTCTATCTCTCTGTATGACTCCCTTGATGAGCTTGGTAACGAGTTGCTGGCATTACGAAGCTCGTGGGCTAAGAAAGCTAGGTCTAAGGGTGACCTACTACTCGCGGATGTAGAAATCGCACGTACACGCGTAGGTGCTCTGTTAGACTCAGGATCCACGCGATCCTACATATCCGAGAAAGCAATCGGCAAGTTGCATCTCGGAATGAAAGTGAAGAACCTGTCTAAACCTATAACGTCTGTTTTGGCCGACAAAAGCACGATCACTGTCTCGCAGTATGTTGAGCGTGTCAAGTGTTGGTTTCGAACAAAGGAAGGTAGGAAGATTTTGCATGAGGTATCCTTCCTGTTCGAAAAGAACTTACCGTTTGACTTGATTCTAGGAATGGACTGGCACGAGGAAGCCAGCCTAGACATTAAGTTCAAAGAAAAGATTGTGCACTTGCGAGACGCACAGTCTGATTTGAAACCAATCAAATTGTTTCATAAGTCTGGATCTGACTCTAGCCTGTCTTTCTGCTGTATGAGTTACCCAGCGTCTCGTTCGATGGTTTCAAAGAAAAGGTTGGAACAGGAAGTAATGATGGTCTTAGTAAAACGAGCAGGTGAGTCCTCTACTTCCTATCCTCCTTCTACCGAAAAACTCCTTAGTAAGTATAAAGATTTGTTTTCCAAACCGACAGGAATAACTGAACGTGCTATCAAGCACACCATTGAAATTATTCCTGGAAGTAAGATTCCCAAGGGCCCTATACATCAAATGTCTGCTAGGGAACTTGAGGAGTTGAGAAAACAACTGCAGGACTTAACAGAGAAAAGATGGATTCGCCCTAGCTCTTTTCCTTATGATGCCCTTGTCTTATTTGTGCCCAAAAAGGAAGGTGAGTTGTGTCTCTGTATAAGACTACAGGGGGCTGAATGCCGTCACTGTTAAGAATGTTGAACCGCTTCCTCGCATTGACGATTTACTTGACCAATTATAGGGTTGCAGGTACTTTAGCAAGATTGACTTGAAATCTGGATATATCACCAGATTGAGGTGGAACCCTCCAATCAGCATAAGACCGCTTCCCGGACAAGGTATGGCCACTACGAGTTCGTGGTAATGCCCTTCGGATTAACGAATGCCCCTGCTACGTTTCAAAGGTCAATGGATGACTTGTTTCGTCAGTGGTTTGTTATTGTCTATCTCGATGATATTCTAGTGTATAGTAAAACACTAGAGGATCATGAGAAGCACCTTCGTCTGGTGCTAGGGAAGTTGCGTAAGGGCAACTTCAAGATCAATCCCAAAAAGTCTGAGTTTGCTAAGTCCGAAGTGTTATACTTAGGACATATAGTGAACGAAGAAGGTTTAAAGCCAGAAGAGAAGAAGATTTCATCAATTAGAGATTGGCCACAACCTAAGTCTATAACGGAATTGCGATCTTTCCTTGGTTTAGCCAGCTACTACAAGAAGTTTGTTCGGAACTTCTCACTGATTGCTGCACCAATGCGAAAATTGTTAAAGAAAGAAACTATCTAGTTGTGGGATAAGGATTGTGAGTCTTCCTTTCGAAAACTGGAGTTTGCCCTGACTCACTACCCGGTCCTTAAGATTGTTGACCCGTCTTTGCCTTTTATTGTCACCACTGACGCAAGTCAGTATGGGATTGGCGCTGTTCTACAGCAAGATGACGGCAAGGGTTATAGGCCCATAGAGTTCATGTCTGCGAGACTGTCGTCTGAAAAGGTTGCCAACTCCACCTATGAAAGAGAGTTGTATGCCTTAGTCTATGCACTAAACACGTGGAAGCACTACTTGTTAGGGAGACACTTGACTGTGTACTCAGACCACTCTACCCTAAAGTGGATAAAGACACAGCCGAGGCTCTCTGATAAACTAGTTCGATGGTCTGCATTCATTGATACTTTTGATTTTGAGTTGAAAACAATCAAAGGAAAGTCTATTGTGGTTGGAGATGCATTGTCTAGGCGGAGTGACTTCTTTGGTGCAATTGTCTCTTACGTGGATGTTGGGAATGACTTGAAAGACCAGATTCGCCAAGGATATGCAACTGATCCTATCTGGAAACCAATCATGGATATCCTTGAACGAGATCCATCCCAACTACCCAACTATAGAATGACAGATGGATTGTTGTTCTTGATTGACCAAACTGAACAAAGATTGTGTATTCCTCATAGGGAAGAGATAAAGAGTGTATTGATTGGGGAATGTCACGATGCTGAGGGTCACTTTGGTTTCAAGAAAACATATGCTGAAGTCAGAGAACGTTTCGAATGGAAGGGACTTAAAGAAGATGTACTAACATATGTTCGTATTTGTTTAGTGTGTCAGAGAAACAAGTCGTCGCACGAGAATCCCCTTGGACTTCTCAAGCCATTACCTATACCAAGCGAACCAGGTGAGTCTATCTCAATTGACTTCATGAGTCTGGTTAAAAGTCGCAATGTAATAGTCAAGTGATGGTAATTGTGGATCGTTTTTCTAAATACGCTATGTTTGTTCCCTTACCAGTAGAAGCGCGTACCGAACTTGTCATTCAGAAATTCGAGATGCGATGGGTTACTGAGTATGGGTTTCCCAAAACCATTGTGTCTGATCGAGATGTCAGGTTCACCAGTCTGCCATGGTAAAAGCTGATGGAAGCTTATGGCACACGGCTGACCATGTCGTCAGGGAGGCATCCCGAAACTAATGGCCAGACTGAACAGATGAACCGTCTGTGCCAGCAGCTTTTGCGTATGTATACTAGACCCGATCAAATTGATTGGGACGAACTCCAAATGCATACAACAATAGTGTCCACACATCTACTGGACGAACTCCAAATGCACTTCACAAAGGGTGGAAGCCTAAACGTCCCATTGATGTACTGAACCGGGATCAATTTCTTAGGTTGCCCCCAGGGACCCGAGAATATGCAATCTTGTTTCAGGAAGACATTTAGAAAGTTAAAGATAATCTAAGGAAAGCTTAACTACGAATGATTGAACAAGCCAACAAACACCGTCGACCGTCTACATTCAAAGAAGGTGATTTTGTTTGGGTAAAATCTATAAGGAGTTTTCACTAGAAGAAGATGTCTCCCAGAAATTGCTACCTGTCTACTTTGGACCCTGGGAAGTTCTCAAGGTAATTGGAGATGCAGAGGGACCGTCTTATCGAATTGATATTCCCCCTCATATCAAAACGTATCCTGTTTTTCATGCGTCCAAATTGTTGCCTTACGTAGAAGGAAATGAGTTTCCTCACAGACCCTCTATGATTCCCCCAGACATGGATGGCGGATACGAGGTTGACCGAATCATAGAGCATGGCTACCTTTCTACGGAAGGACGTGGACGACCTTAGAAGCAGTTTAAGGTACGTTTTAAAACTCAAGCACCATCTGAGGACAAATGGTTTAGTAAACGAGAACTACTTGAAACTGCTCCTGATATTGTCGCTGCTTATGAACGAGGGTTAAAGTCGTAAATATTTCTGCGGTGGAACTGGAAAATGGGCCGGCAGGAATGTAATAACCCTGTTCAGAAGTAGCCTGGGGCCAGAACTCAGCCCAAGGCCACGCAGACCTGAGAAGGTCTGCGCTGGGCAGTGTGACCAAGACACGCCCAGGCCTGAGTCTGTCGAGTGTGGTTGTGTGACCGAACACTGCACATAGGAAATTCAAGAGTCAAAGTCAACTGTAGAGAAGGTAACGCACCCAGGCTCTGGGATGGATACACTCACTTGTTGTGCGCAGGTACCCAGACAACATCCAGGCCGGAGGGAATTCGGTTTCAGGCCGATCTGAGCCCTCATTCACATTGAGATCTGGACAACTGAGAGATACAGCATCTGGGGCCCAGACCCCGCGTCAATACTAAATAAGAGTTGACTTCCTGGCCTTGACATTGATTCTGTCTTGCGTTGATGCTGACTTCACGCATTGACTTCGACGCTGGCTTGACACTGCGACGCTGGCTCGACGTTGCTGGCATTGTGACTTGGCGAGGCGCTTTGCTTGTTTGGCATGGTGGCCGGCTTGCCCCTGTCTTCTTGGCATGCTGACGTGGCAACTGGCATGTGCCTTCGCTGATGTGGCTGCTGCCACGTGTATCATTTGGCCGACGTGGCTGCTGCCCACGTGTCTGCGACTGGGACTACATATTCGGCATTGCTGTTCTGTTCGTCGTCACTTCAGGAGGAGATCATGATTGTGGAGAGTTCGAGGATACGTACCAGGTGGTCTTCATGTCGACATTGCTCCAGATGCTGATGTGGAACTGATTAGTCGTGCCACGTGGCACATTGAGGATACTCGGATACTTGTTCAGACTATTGATTGTTGAGGTGGCAGTGGAGGAAGGAGCCCGAAGCAGGAGTGGGCAATATACTTCCTCTCCTTTGTCTCTTCTCCCTCCTCTCTCTTCGTCAATGTATGATATCTCACCTCATTCTGTCTGGTCACGATTTTTTATTATTGGTAATCATCAGCCGATGGACATTTATCTGGACTTACATTGTTGACAACTGTCTCACGATCTGGGTTCATTACAACATCTTCTTTTTCGAAATTCGTTTTTCTGAAAGCGGTACGGGAAATCCCTCCTGCAGGTATTATTTTCCAAACTGCGAATACTTTCATCTGAGTAACTCCGCATACTTGTCATTTTTTTCGCAGTTCTAGGATTCTGTTAGTCAGTTCTATAATTCATTTGCAGTCTAAAGTTCAAATTTTTTTTTCTCATTGATAGTTTCGCACTTCAAGGGAGGTTGGGAGACCTACTGAACTTGCAAAACTCGTGATTTTTATTTTTCTCAAAAAATTTTTTTTTGCAAAGTTCAAACTTTTCTCTTTTGATTAGTGGCTCCTTATCTGGGCGTTATCTGGGCGATTATCCCACCCACCCCTCCCCACGTATGTTGTTGCCACCTCTGGCCTTGCCTTCTCTACCTATCTTTGGGTACCCCCTGCAGCGGCATTGGTAAGTTGCCACGTCAGCAGGCCACGTCAGCAGGCCACGTCAGCAGGCCACATCAGTCGACAACAGTGCCACGTCAGCAGCAGGGAAAACCACGTTAACAGGCCCCCGGCCTGGTCTATGCTGTTGCGTTCACAAACAGCCGTCATGGACCAGAGGTCCGGAGAAGCAGACCGGGCCTATCACGCCCGGATGCTGGCCTGGAGTACCGAAACAAAGAGACGGGCAGATGACGCAGCAACAACAGCAAAGAAGAAGGCAGAGGACGCCGAGCAGGCACGCCTGATGGCAATTGAACAACAGTGCCAGCATGACGAGGCAGCAGCAAAGGCTGCCGATGAAGAAAGAATTCAACGTCGTGAGAAGATATTTAACGAAGAGCAGACTTTGCTCACAATGCCAGCGGAATGGCGGACCGAGGCCGAGAATGGCAAGTTGGAGGATAGCGAAAACAAGATCGCTCTCCTCCTCTCCCATCTCACAGACCTCCTGGCGACATGCATTACACAGCAGCAGGACATCCACAGCCTCTACGACTTGCTAGCTCAAGTCCAAAGCCGCCTCCGACAGCTGGAGCAGCGACCTGTCGCCGCCCCCGATGCAAGCTCTTCCAACACCTCCGATCGCGTCGAAGCAGTGGAGATGAACGTCGGCTCCCTCAAGGACGGCGTGCAGTTACAGCAGGCCGCAACGCAACAGTTGGAACAACGGATCTGCACTGCCGCCAACCACTCGAATTCGGAACCACGCGAGACAGCTCCAAAGTTTGACAGACAGGAGATCTTTTGCGACTCGACGAAGACAAATCCGATATCATGGTTCCGCAAGTTCGAGCTCACGCTACAGCTACACTACGTCAAGGAATACAAGCACCACTCGTACTTGTACTCCCGCTCGGGGGGCGCGTGCCAGGCATGGTTGGACAATCTCTTGTCCAAGTACGGAGTGGTAGCTGTCGACTTGCACACCAAGATCGGTTGGGATAATCTGAAGGCGGCGTGGCACAAGCGGTTCCAAGTCAAGCCGCCCGAGATGAAGGCTATGGACAAGCTCATGATCTTCGAACAAGGCACGCTGCTGAGTACCGACTGGATTGCCGAGTACCAACGCTTGACATCAGTCCCAGACATCCAGATGGGCTTCAAAGTCATCCACCACTATTTCATCTCAAGGTCATGTCCGACATTAAGCAATGCCCTGACTCACGTCGAGGACACCTTGACGACGACGGCGGAACTCTTTGACAAGGCCGCACAGATCATCATTATGAACAAGGAGGCTAAGAACCTGCGTTCGTCTGCGCCAGGCCCGAGCAGAGACCAGCATCGGCCAAGAGTGGCCGTGGTCGCGGAGGCAACGCCGTTTGACCAAACTAGCGAGGCCGTGTCTGCCAATGAAGGAGACAGACTCGCAGCCGCCCGGGAAGGTGGCCGCCCCGGCAGAGGCCGAGGACGCGGCAAGACGAAGACACACACCGCATTTAGTCCCGGGTCCGGCGCAGCAGCTCCAGCCCGATGGTCCCAATACGGCATCTCCGAGCAAGCATTCAAAGCGCGCACGGGATTCCACTATTGCCTTTGGTGCAACCGCGATCTCCATGAGACACTGGCCTGCCCATTGAAAGGCAAAGGCGAATAGGGAAACTAAGCACCGTCGAGAGTGACTCGAAGACACTCTCGACGCCTCCGGAACCGGTTTCTTCGCGAGTGACCGACCTTCATTCCGAGGCGCATGCGGAAGTCGATAGTCCTCCTCTTCTATATTTTTTTGAGGACTATGCTGCCTGGCTCGTTCCTACGCTGGGTACTCCAGCTCAAGGACAAGACGTGTGTGCGACATCTTCTCCGCCCGACAGCGGTGACTTATCGTCTTCAAGTGGTTCTTCACGGGATTCGGCGCGCGAGTTCAACATAGAGGTATTGGACCCACTCACGTCCGAGGACTTTGCATGGCTTCCTCTCCCGACCACGGGCCGCTTGCCGGGACCGCAATGCGCAGCACTATGCGCTCATCTCCACACATACTTATCCTTCTATGCACCACCAACTTCGCCGACGGATGACGAAGTCGCGGTGGGGGACATCCTTGCGTATGTTACCAAGGTGACCAGCGAGTTTCGCACGCAGCGGTATGATGACAACAACGCACCGCTCATGTATGTCCACATTCAGGTTGGGCAAGCGTCCTCCAGCGCTTTGCTGGATAGCGGCGCGTCTCGCAATTTCATGAGTCAATCCTTTATGCAAAGGGCTGGCCTTCGGAGGAAGGCAAACCCGACGGCGATCAAGTTGGCGGATGGAAAGACGCAGCAACTTCTCGATCGTTACATCGAGGTCGTACCGGTTTATTTCGCACCTCATGCATGCGAACCGGTGACGTTCGACATTCTCGACACGGACTTCGACATCATTCTGGGAATGCCTTGGCTGGCAAGTCCGGATCACACAGTCAACTTCCACCGGCGGACTCTTAGCGTTCGCGACGTCTTCGACGCCGAAGTGGCGTGTACTATTCCTCTACCGCACCCTTCGATTCGGTGCCAAGTGGTGACGGCCAAATCATTCCGGGCGACTTGCGCTTACGAGCAGCCCGAGGAGATCGGCCTATGTTTCCTACGGACCGTCGCGGTAGCCAACTCTTCACCCACAGACTTGTCTTCGGACCCCCGGGTGGTGTGGTTGTTGGACGAGTTCGCCGACATCTTCGAGTCACCTACCGGTGTGGTGGCGGATCGGCCGATCTCTCACGAGATCATTCTTGAGGCCGGTGCCGTGCCATCGAAAGGTTGCATCTATCGGATGAGCGAGGAGGAGCTTGAGGTCCTCCGCGCACAACTCGACGATTTGTTGGCCAGGGGCTGGATCCGCCCTAGTAGCTCCCCATATGGAGCACCAGTTCTCTACGTCCGGAAGAAGAACAAGGATCTACGATTGTGTATCTACTACCGCAAGCTCAATGCACAAACCGTCAACAATGCGGGGCCTCTTCCTCGCATCGACGATCTTCTTGAGCGATTGGGCGGCGCAAAGTATTTTTCTAAGTTAGATTTGAAATCGGGATATCATCATATCTCGATCCGGCCGAATGATCGCTACAAGTCCACGTTTAAGACGCGGTACGGGCATTTTGAGTGGGTGGTCATCCCTTTTGGCCTCACCAACGCCCTGGCGACCTTTCAAGCGACAATGACCAACGAGTTCCGTGCGATGTTGGACCCGTTCGTGCTGGTCTACTTAGACGATATTCTCGTCTAGAGCCGGACATTGGAGGATCATCTTGGGCATCTTCGACGAGTGTTGGAGACGCTCCGCCGCGCCAAGTACAAGGCCAATCGCGACAAATGCGAATTTGTCCGGCAAGAGCTGGAATACTTGGGCCATTTTGTCACACCGAAGGGCATCAGTCCGCTATCGGACAAGATTCAAGCCATACAAGAGTGGACGGAGCCTCGGAACGTCACGGATGTCCGTTCGTTCCTTGGCCTTGCTGGCTACTACCAGCGTCTTATCAAAGGCTACTCGAAGATCGCGGCCCACTTGACCAAGCTTCAATGCGAGGATCGACCGTTTGACTTCGGAGAGGAGGCGCGGGAATCATTTTTGGTTCTCAAAGCCGCGCTATTATCGGTGGAGGTCTTGCGCATATACGACCCGCTTCTGCCTACACACGTCACTACGGATGCGTCCGGCTATGGCATTGGTGCCGTCCTCGAGCAATATGACGGTGTGGAATGGCACCCGGTCGAGTATTTCAGCAAGAAAGTGCCCGTTGTGCATTCCATTGACGATGCACGCAAGAAGGAGTTCCTCGCCTTCGTCCACGCGCTCAAGCGGTGGCGGCACTTCCTCCTTGGTCGAAGCCAATTTCGATGGGTAACGGACGATAATCCGTTGATCTTTTACAAGACCCAAGACACCGTCAACAGCACCATCGCTCGATGGATGGCTTTCATCGACCAGTTTGACTTCTTTCCCGATCACATTCCGGGAAAGTCGAACCGTTTTGCGGATGCTCATTCATGGCGTCCGAATCATTGTACTGCAGTCTACTCAACCTTCGAGATCGACGACGACCTGCGGAACAGCTTCATCCGCGGCTACCAAGCCGACCTCGAGTTTCGCGACAAGTACGCAAATTGCTCCTCTCCTAATCCGGCGCCTTCTCACTACCGGATCCAAGAGGGGTACTTGCTTGTCCACACGCGGGGTAAGGACCTTCTTTGCGTACCGAGTGATCATCACTTGCGTACACGGCTTCTTGGCGAGTTCCACGATGCTCCCTCCACTGGACACTTTGGAGTCAATCGCACGATTGGCCGTCTTCGCGAGCGATTTTGGTGACCCGGCCTTCTCGGCGACGTCACGCGCTATTGCGAGTCATGCGAGGTTTGCCAACGCTGCAAATCCCGCAACCATCGTCCGTACGGCGAGTTACGACCATTACCGGTCCCGTTGAGGCGAAGGGAAGCGATTGCCATGGACATTACCGGCCCGTTCCCCAAGCACAAGACCGGAGTGGATGGGATTCTCATGGTGGTCGACCGACTCACCAAGTTCGCCATGTTTTTGCCTTGTCGCTTTTATGCCAAGGCACCGGGGTTGGCCGACGTTCTCGACGCCGGTTGGATTCGAACCAAGGGTTACCCCAAGGAAATCGTCTGCGACCGCGACACTCAGTGGACTCTCATCCGTCCTGACCAGAAGGATTGAGTGGAGTTGCTGTCGGATGTCGAGTTGGCCTACAACTCCTCCATCCACCCGGCTATCGGGATGTCACCCTTCGAGTTCGAGCACGGCTCACCGGTCACTTCGCCGTTGGACACTATCACTCCACGAACGACCGAGAGCGACGACCATCTTCTTTTCTTGCGCCGGATGCAAGAGCTACTTGTCAAGGCATGCAGCCAGATGACCAAGACGCAGCAACGCATGAGCCAGCAGGCCAATCGCCAGCGTCTTCCTTGCCCATTCCGCGCTGGCGATCTCGTTTGGGTCTCCGCCGCAGAATTCAGCCTTGAACAAGATATCTCTTGCAAGCTCCTCCCGAAATGGATGGGGCCTTGGCCGATCGTAGCACCCGCTGGAGACGCACCCGAGGGACCTTCCTTCACGATTCAGGTGCCCTCCCACTTGCCCGTCTACCCAGTCTTTCATTGCTCCAAGTTGGCTCTTTACACGCCAGCGGAACATGACGATTTTCCCGGGAGACGTTCGCAAGACCCACCCTCTATGAACGGTTTTCAGGAGGTCGGCGACATCATCTCCCAGCGACGCTATGACAACAGGCCAACCGAGTATTTGGTGCATTTTGCATACTGCACACACCGAGCTGACCGTTGGTTGACCCGTGCGGAACTTCAAGCAACAGCTCCAGACGTTCTCGCACGCTACGAACGCAAGATGCAAGGCAAGTCGGTCTCTTCGGCTCCACGCCGCGCCCGCGTCCAGGTTCCACCTTCAGATCGTCGGCTCCGCCCTCGCCCCGGCTTGACTTCATAAGGAGGGGGGGGGGTTACATGCTGCGCCTGCACACGAGGGCCATTTTCCAAGCCCTGCGTCCCTCAGGCTGAAAGCCTGAAAAAAACAGGGCCTACAGGCCCCGTGTCGGTTCAGCCCGAAAGCCTGAAAAACAGGGGCCTGCAGACCTTGTGTCGTTTCAGACTAAAAATGGCAATAGCCTTTTTAGCCTGAAACAAAGGGCCATTTTCGGTCGTTCATCAGCACGACCGGCCCTGAAACTCAGGCACCGAACCAGGGTTTTGGGAACAGGCTATTCTTAGCCTGTTCCCACGACAGCGTCAGCAGAGGCTGCAGCTCCAGCCCCTAGCACACTTCGGCGTTGGCAAGAGCAGCCTCCTCGGCTTGGCTCGCCCTGCAGGCAGTCAGGAGGCAGGCCGAGGTAGTACATAGGGACTTCCCATGCACTTCACGGGTAGGCAGGAGGCAGTCAGTAGTCTTCAGGATTCGGCAGCAGCACTCTGGAGGGAGCGCGGCAGGAGTAGTAGTAGCATTAGCATTAGTCTTCAGCACTGGGCGCAGTAGGTAGCTGTAGTCTTCAGCGCTGGACGCCATATCTAGGATAGCACTAGAGAGAGAGAGATTGGGCGGAGGCCCGGAGTACCTACCTGCAGCGCCGTTGCTCCAGCTTCGTCTTCAAGGTACCTGCAGCACAGCGCCAACTTCACAGGTTAGTATCTGGCTCGTGACAGAGAGAGAGTTCTTCTTCTTCCTCTTCTCAGTCCACCATCTCCCTCTCACCCTCTCATTATCGGACTTCACTGCATCAGCAGACTACGATAGAAAGAGAGAGAGAGAGCTTGCTGACATTGGATCCAGACTCGACTTTTGGGCTTCAGACATTACGACGAGGGATTATTTGGGACTTGTGACAAAGACTTGGTGTTGACGACATTCCCATCTCTCCCCCTCTCTTCGTCTGATCCCCCTCTTCTTCTGTGTATGTCTGGACCTGGCGCTTTCTTCCTGTGTACAGCGCCAGGCTCCTTCACACCTTGTGATGGACACGATGTATGCTTGGTCTGCGTTCAAACATTGATTGGGCTAGTCATTAGCATTCTAGCATTCTGCTTCGCTATCTTATACTACGTGAATGAGGTCAGTCCCGGTCAGATCAGGATCTGTATCTAAGTCTTCCCTGCGCTATTCAGCACCATTTGTATGTATCAGAATGCACATTGCTTGTTGAGATTCTGCTTGCACTGCATTGTCCATTCAGTCCTTTTCATCACATTGTGGATCCTTGGTTATTACGTACATCGCCCAACTGGGCACGTAACATTTGCCCACGGCCACTTCGTGATGTGTCGGCCTCACACTGCGTGTGCCCAGGGCGCAACCACCCGACCCTGGGCTCAGCTGCTGTTTCTGGAAGGAGCCCAGGGAGAGGCTCACATTGCTCTTCAGCCAACTGGTGTGCTGCAACTCTCTGTTACCCACATTGGAAAATGCTGAGATAAGGGCCTCTTATGGATATTCAGGCCCGCCTGCACTTAGGGCGGGCACGAGGCTTCTTGGGGGCCACAGCCCAGATCATGTGCATGCTGCCTAGGGCCCCGTGAGGGCACATTCCTAACATCTGTCATGTGATTTTGTTTTGTTTTCCAGAGCAATCAGCTATGTAATTGCAGCAATATGTGGATGCAAGTACTGTGTAACCTTTATTCATCTGCCCTCATTCCGGTCTCGATTTCTGCTGTGCTGGTTTCTAATCTTCCCTGGCTTCCTCGCCTTCCTCTTTCTGCCCCTGCTATCTTCAACACTCTCTCTCTCTCTCTCTCTCTCTCTCTCTCTCTCTCTCTCTCTCTCTCTCTCTCTCTCTCTCTCTCTCTCTCTCTCTCTCTCT